AGCTGTTGGCTCTCACGCTGGCCAATAGAATCTTCCTGCCTATTCGTGGCAGCCAGCTATAGGCTCTCACTCTGGCCAGTAGAAAATGGCCGCAAACTATATGAAAACTGCCGTAGAAACATGAAAATATTTTGATTATTTCCACTATCGATGGGAGTTGGGAAATGCAAAGTCAGTCTTGGCCTTCCCACTAACTTGGAGCATGTGCATGTAAATTTTGGTGCAAGTCCGTCAAAATTGCGGCCGTGCATTAGTTACAAACACACACACATCCTGCCTTTTATTTATTTATTTATTTATTTATTTATTTATATATATATATATATATATATATATATATATATACACACACACACACATTTGCCTTTTATAGATATATATCTATCTCTGTCTCTATGTGTGTGTGTGTGTGTATATATATATATATATATATATATATATATATATATATATATATCCTACCTTTTATAGATAGAGATGGACAAATCCAATCAATTCATAATTCCACTCTTCATTTATGAAAAGTAAAGAGCTGCTTTTTCTACCAAGAATGATTTCTTTTTTTTTTTTTTTTTTTTTTTTTTTTTTTTACACACACAAAAGAAAACAAAAGTGGGACATTAACAAGAAATATTTTCAGTCAGTTTTTTTTTTTTTTTTTTTTTTAAAGAATTTCTTTCTTTACATCATTGGTATAGCAACTGGTGCTGCATTGTGCCATATTGGAAATACCCAGTAACATTTGCCAATATACTGAGACATTCATTAAGAACTGATGATTTCTTTTTTCTGTGGTGTTTGTCTTTTACATTAGTATTTGGTGTCACTTTCTTTTTTAACTTTGTTTTATGTTCAATTTGCATTGCAATCTCACAATTAACACGTGGCTCAAACTGGTGTTCGGGCAATTACAGTCATTGTTCCGTCATAGATTCTACTGGTTTTAACATTGCATTAATCTGCATGGCTGTCTTCATGATCTCTGTTTCTTAGTGAAAGTAAAATCAGCCATCTTATCACCACAAGAAAGATTTTCTTGTAGTAATAAATAGTACATGACATCTGGTCTGTATTGGTTTGGTTACTTTCCTTGTTCCCAGTAGAGAAATGCACCTATTTGTCAGTAATGGAGAGGGTTTAATGGGAAACTCCCTTATCACAGCACCTGCTAGCCCATGTGTTCGCTACCAAGCAAAAAAGAATTTTGGCGAAAGAAACTCCTTTTTTTTTTTTTTTTTTTTTTTTTTTTTAAAACCAGAAAATCTTGTGTGTTCTTGCTAGTTGCTGATTCATCAGTTCAGGGGCCAATGAAAAGGCACTGTCACACCCTGCTTCTTTTCCTTTTTTTCTTGCAGGACTTGTGAATGTCAATAGTCAAATATATTGTATTTCAGAAATATGATATATTGTAGAGTTGTTTATTAGATATTTTTCTTTATTCTTAAATTTATATTATTTTCATTCACTTTACAATGTTACAACTTTGTTCTTGATTACCATACTGTATTTTTTCTTCCTTGAAGAAAATTAAAAGAACATAATTTTTTACAATAAAGTAAAACATCAAATTTTGGTGATAGAGGGAAAGATTTTATTTATTTTTGACCAGCTACATTTGAACCTTTGTGTGTGTGTATATATATATATATATATATATATATATATATATATATATATATAATTTGTTTTTCTTATCAATGCCCAATTTACTGATTTTACTCCTACTATGCCACTTTATTACTTTGTATTTTACACTAACCTTTTTTGCAATAGTATGGGGATGGAAAAATTTGGTAATAAAGTGGCAGGATTTGCAGTTTTTTTATCTAAGATATTTTTAGCAAAAATTTGCCCAGTCACTGTTGAAAATTGGGGGTTAAAGGGGATTGTCATTAGTCAAGAATAAAGGCAACCATTTTGCTGACAACACAAAATAGGACATTTTGTCATTGAAAAGAAAATGTGATGACATGATACTGAAAATTATTTCAATATGATGTGGATATTCTGTTTTATATATATGTGATTCCCACACAAATATATATTTATTTATTCATTAATGGTCTCATAATTTATACAAGTATTTAGGATAATTAAATCTACTTAGAAACCATGAGAATTTCCCTTCTGACCAAATAATTACAGTTTTTTGATATTTTAAAGTTTTTTTTTTTTTTTTCATTCATTAGGTACCACCAAAAATTTTCTAAAGCAGAGCATACCATGATGAACAAATGCCCGAAATTTGATAAAAACAAAGTTTTATTGTCAAAATATTTGTTATTATTAAGAGGACAAATTGAAGTATTTTTTGATTATTTTAGGTGGAAAAATATAATCCAAGTGTTGTGCCCACAAATAAAACACAAAATTATAGATAATACAAAAAATGATCTTTGTTGAAAAATAAAACTAAACTAAATATAACAATAACATTTATACAGGCAGATACGTGTATTTACATATATAAATTCAATGTTCTCTGTTATGGCCATGAAGAGACCAATATTTTGATTGTTTGAAATGATTTATCGCAAGTGAGTCTGCAAAGTTAAGTGATTTTGTTACAAATGAGGAAAAATAAGCAATATGTACACCAATGTGTGTGTGTGAAGCACACACTATCAAAACGTGTGTGACTGATTGCATGCATCAGCAGTAATTTTAAACATGGTGAACAAAGAGAGGAGACAGGACTTTCATCATCTCTTTGTATTTTTTCAGTGCAGAAAAATCATTGCTCACTGATGCATTGTCATAGTAATGTGCATCTATGCTTTTGATTGAGGCAGGGCCTTGTTTGCTGACTTTTCTATTTTTCTGTTACTGGCAAACCATTTTTATCACTATGGCTAGCCAGTGCTCGGCTCCGAATCAATATTTGAATTTTGCATGGGAATTTACTTAGTAACCTCAAACCCGAACTTTTGCCAGGTCATTTGGAGTTCAATCATGCGGATATCGAAGAAAGCATATCAGGTGACTTGTTCTATTCAATTAGGTTCTAGAAAACACATTTAATTTGGAGCTCTGTTTGTAAAAGAGTTTTCATATGTAATGAATTTAGTAAAATTTATTTGTAGGTGACTTGTACTTGTTTGTGCTTCACTTATTGGCTGAATAATATAGGAATTTATATCATACTTTCTAGCATGTTCAAAATTTTGGTTAAAAATATTGTTTTTCTTGCATCAACAAGGGCCAAAGATTTGTATATGGACTTTTAGCATCATTTTTGGCATTAAAAACAAATTGTTTTGGAAAATTTTTACAAAAAATCAAATAATTGTCCTGAAAATTTAATTAAAATTCATTGAAATTTTTTTTTTTTTAGAAAATCTTGGTAAAAAAATATATATATATATATATATATATATATATATATATATATATATATATATATTATATATTATTTTTTTTTTTACATCTTTTGCCCACCATTTAAAATTCCAGCCTCTTCATATTTATATTAGTTAAAAGCAGGACTCCTTGGGGAATTTAAATTATCAACTTGTTTTTGTCAAACAGAAATAGTATTTACCAAAAATCTGCTGAATTGTAAAATAAAAAATGTAATAAAACTGACATTATTTTATAATTATATATTACAAAAACAAATCGAAAGACAACTTGAAACGTCTCGATTTTGATCTGAAAACCTGGGAACCCAAGCATCAAACTGAGAAGAGTGGCATAAGACATGTTTCATTAAGCTAAAGGGTTTTGAAGACAGACTGAAGTACTGTGATCAGCTTCATCAAGCTCTGAAGCAGACACACCATCAAAATCGTGCTTTAACAAATTTCATCTGTCAGTGTAGCTTTGTCCCCTGCAGCAAGGCTGGGCTAGTATCGCACTTAAGAAAGCACAAATGAAATATGTCTTTCCCTTACTTGATTACCCCTGCTAGCATGCATAAGTGTAAAACAAAAGGCACCATCAAATGCTGACCCTCATTTGTCATTCACAATAGGAGAGTCCCCCATTTAATTATAAAAGCAATTAAAAGCTTTTATAAATAAGATATATTAAGGACATTATTGTCATAAGAAAAAAAAATTGATGAATAATGAATTTGTACAAGAATTGTTTTCATTTTTTTTAAAATTTTAATTCAAAAAATTTATTAACTTTTAAATCTTTTAAAATTCTGTACTAATTTCAGCCTTTTAGATGATATTATTATTAAATGGAAATTATATTTATTAATCATAATTGGAAAAGTGTAATACAAATCATCAAACACTAATAATTTGAAGAGAATTTTGAGTTTTTTTTTATGTATAAATGTGCCCATTTTGTAAGTACGGATGATCATGCACAAAACTATCAGAAAATAAGAGTGATGACTATAGTAAATTTAAAGTCAACATTTCTAAAATTTAATTAAACATTAAATTACGGAGAATATTTTTCTAAATTTTCATAATTACTGAGTATTTAAAAATTTATATAAAAAAAGGTGGTCATATCGTTTTCTTAAATTATGTTTTACAGATAAACTCTCTGTAGAACAAAATTAAACCTGTCATTAGGCTGTCAACAGGCTGTCAACACATCAAAACAGCTAGTCAAAAAATGCATTTCTCTGATATTTTAAATTTAAAGTAAATAATATTTGTTTCAAATCAGAATAATTATATTTTAAATCAGTTAATATTACTTAAATAAAATTGCACAAAAATATATTTTGTTTTTGGAAAAGTTTTTAATAAAGAGAATTACATTGTGATGACTAAAATGGGTGCTAATCAGCTATTTTAACAAAAACCTCTAAAACTTCTTTAAGTCAATTTAAATTAGTTTTTGAAATACGGCAAAGTATTGTGCTCATTGAAAATATTGAATTTAATCTATTAGCTTGAAATTAAAGTGAAAATAAAAGCTTCAAAAGAGTTTTTTCATTATTCAAAATTAATTTTAAACCTTAGGTATCTTTCTTTTTTCTTTTTTTTTTTTTTTTTTTTTTAAATAAATTTTTTTTTTCTGGACTCTTTCAGCAGAATGAATTACCAATGGACAACCAACATTCTTCTCCTGGTTTTTGGTCTGTGCTCAACAACAAATGACATTTGGGAAAACTTGAACATCTTTGAAGAACATGTGCCATACTTTTACTACAATAATCCAGACTTGAAAATGCAGTGTCTTCAAGATCTCGAATGTCCTTATCGAAAGGTAACCTTTACAAATATTCCTTCAGAAAAGACAATGAGAATGCTGAAGAGATCTTGGTCTAACCAAGCCTTCCCAGTCCCTTTTTTTTTCTTTTTCAGTTTTTTATTGTTGTCTTTTGTCTCTTAGCTGGTCAATATGACTGATTTTGAAATTTCTAATATCACTCTGGCACAAATGTCTCTATGTATTTCTATCTAGGGCAACTTGCTTGAAGTTAGTATGGGGCACATTGACAACTGAGAGGTTACTCTTTAGGTTGTCTTTATACATGAGCCACAGCTGTCCAACAGTCCTTTGTTCACTGTCAAGCTGGTTATACATGAGGACCTTAGGTATTCTGTCATCACTCATCATTGCAACGTGACCAGCCCAGCAAAGTTGTCACTGCATCAGGAAAGTCTCACTTCCAATTTTGTTAGAAGATCAGAATTGGACACCTTATCGTCAAAAGTGTAGCCATAGATATCCAGATGATTGATATAGGACCTATATGGGGTCCATGATTCTGAGCTGGACAAGAATGTGGTTGAAACAGTTGCTCTATAAACCTATATACTGAGTCTGCAAAAAAAAATGGATGCACACTTCAGGAAAGGAAAAATTTGTCTTTTGTAGTTTTATGAAATTGCAATAACACTGTTTATTGTAGTATATTTTCTCAACAGACGACATTACACTGGTGGCTTTTAGATGAGAAATTGAAAATGCATGTCCAAGCAGTCCCACTGGACACTAGTCAATATTGCCCAAGCAGTAGTTCGCTATACTAATAAATGTATGGTAGCTAAAGGCCACTTTTTTGAGCATCTGTTGTAATTGGAGAGTCCAAAGATTAATTTGTGTTAATCTTATGATGACTGAATGAATTTAGTATTACAATACATATACAAGTTTTTCCTTTCCTGAAATGTGTATACATTTTTTGGCAGTGTGTGTGTATATATATATATATATATATATATATATATATATATATATATATATATAATACTCACACACAAGTTTCATTAATGATAACTGACAAAGTATTGTCCAAATGTTCAATATATCTGAGTGCTTTCAGCTATTCTATTAGCCATTTTCAAGGATTTTTTTTTTTAAACTGTATATGTAAATTTTTATATACAGAGTGACTGAAAAGTAACTCCCTATTTTATGTATGATGGACTCTCCCATATAACTATAATTTTTCCAAGATGGGAGAGTCCATCATGCATAAAATAGGAGTTACTTTTCAGTCACTCTGTATATGCATCTGTCAGTCATCTTTAATGAAACTTGTATAAAAGACGGATTGCTGCCCAAATATATATATATATATATATATATATTATACACACACACACACACATATTAGTGGTGGGATAAAATATAAAAACAAAATAAAACAAAACATCAGTTACAATTCTACTTCACGAAATGCTGCCTGGGATATAGGGAGGCTTAGCTTTAAATTTTCAAATTCTTGGTGTCAGGTGTGTGTAGAGACATAACCTCACCAACCTTTTTCAGTTTTCTATTGCTTTTGTTTTTAAATATTCTGTATTGTTATAGCAGTAGTTTTGTTAGGAAAGGAGATATGTTTTATGATCCTGGATGTAAATTTACCATATAAAATTCTGAAATCAGTCCACTTTCAATACTGTATGATCTTAATAAATTACTTTTCTTTTAATTATCTTAATTCATTCTTTAAATCAAAATTGTCAGATCTATTGTAACAAATGACTAATGTGTAAAAGATCCTTTTTGTGTTCAAATAATTTTTTATTTATATTCCTAGTGGTATCGTATGTATTTCTTGAGGCTATTTTGAAGTTTATTTTGTAAATACTTCAAAACTTATCATCTATAAAAGAGTATTTAAATCTTAATTTTAAACTCCAGTTAATAATTTACATTTAGGTGATGAGTAAATATTCTAGAAGGTGTAAAAGAGTTTATAAATTCCAAGGGATAATTCTGGGCTTCTTCTTCATTATCAGAAGTTACAGATTCGTGGTTAGATATGTCTTAGTTTCAGTAGGCAATCTACTTAGAACTTTTTCATTTACTGCTAAGCAGACCAAATTTTTAGGTGATAAGATATATATGTGGTCTGATTGATTTAAATTGGCTTTATCCATTTGCTAGTTTGGATGTAAAATGAAACTATTTTGTTCTTGCTCACTAATTTACGTAAGTATATCAATGGCAGAACACACACTTATGAAAATAAAGGCACTAAAATATATAAATAACTGACAGATATGGATTTTAAATATTACAGAATCGTAGCTTTGTTAATTAAAATCTTAATTTAACACCTTAATTGGACACGAACAGTCAGCATGTAATGATTCAATATTGTAATGTAAACTAAACAAACCAATCTCACTGGTTTGTTTTAGGCACAATTTTTTTAAAGGATTAAAAAACACAATTCTGCAAGATTTCTTCTTATAAAATCAATTTTATTGAACTTTATGGATATCAAACTGTGAAATATTTTGAAATTGTCTTGGTAGGTCCATTAGAAAGGGATCTTAATGACTGTTTTGTTGACCTGGTGTAGTAACTTTTTGAAAAATTTTTTGAACACTTGAAACGAATCACTTAGATTTTTCAAATAAAAATCTTATTTAAAAATCTAAGTGATTCGTTTCAGCACTTGCCATACCCTCCGTTCAATTTGCAAGTGTTCGATTGATTAAATGTAAAAAAAAAAAAATCGGCTCGATCCGTTATTTATTCAGGAATATAATGCAACTTTAAAATGGCTTTCACTCCAATTTTTGCTATATTAACCAATTAACTAAAGAAAACATGACAGACATCTATGGACGGTAGGTAGGTACAAGCATAGATAATTTGGCTTTTAGCTTCCAAAACATATCTAAAACTATTATACTTTTTTATGTTTAATAATTTAAGCTACAAAGGACAGAAAATTTTAGAAAGTCATGATCACCTTATGTCCTGAAGGAACACTGCACATAGAAGAAGAATAATTTTAAGATATCATGGCATATGGATGTACTTGTAAATAAGCACCAAAGAATTGTTACTGATTATTTTGGGTTGATTAGGCCAGTTAAATATTTAACATTTGAAAAAAAAAAAAACTTGTAATGAAAATTTTGTTTGATTTTTTTTTTTTTTTTTTTTTTTTTTTTTTTTTCTGACAAATAAAAGAAAATGGTTGTTTATAAAAATGTATTTAATTATCAATATAGTAACATTTGTTATCATTGATCTTCTCCCATCTGTCAACAAACTTTTTAAAAGCACATGTATAAAATTCTTTAGGTTTTAACCTGAAATAAGAAACTAACTCATTTTCAATCTCTTGAAATTAATCTCAGTACATCCAAATAGCTTTGCAAATTTCTAAACAGATGGTAATCAGATGGAGTGATGTCTGGGCAATATGGTGGATGAAGCATTTTTCCCAGTCAAGTCCATATAAGAGATCTTTGGTAATTTTATATTTTCAATTATATTGTAAGAGATCTTTTGTCAGTAGGAGATTGTATATTATCATGGTAAAGGATGATCCCTTTTCTCTTTACTAAAGATGGATGTTTTATTCTGCCCAAAGCTGCTTTAAACACCTTAACCTTTGACATTAAACTTTTACTGTGATTCTATGATTATCATTTAACAGCTTTTAATAAATTAATCCCTGTATATCCCTCCAAAGATTCTTTTTGGGATGCAATCCTGCTCTTTGCTGCTGAGGAAGCCTTTCACCATGCCTAAGCTACTGATACCTTTGCTTAATATTGCAATAAAGAATCTGCTTCTTATCCCTGGTAATGACTCTGTCCCCAAAAAGCATTTGGAACTGGAATGCAGTGATGTATAATAATTGACATGCAGTTTCTTTGTTAATGGGTCATTTTGAACCCACATTTCAGCTTTCTGACACTTTCTCAAACTTTCTCATTTCACTAATGTTGAAGTGCCTACTGAGTTCCCTAAAGGTTTGATTAGCATTAACATAACATCTGCCTCCAGTGGATCAGAAATAAGTCTTCTTTCATGACCTTCTCTTAGTTAATCCTTTAGATTGAAATTATCTATTCCGAAATGGGAAAGCCACTTCCTATGGGTTTTAAAACCATCATGTTTTTTCACAATTGGAACTATTAGCGCATGTGATTTAATGTTGCATTTGCATTATTCCCTCTTAGAAATTTATAGAGAATGGTGCGCATTCTTTACTTTAAGAAAACATGGATTTTGGTTTGAAAGCTTTTCTTCTAATTATCTTCACAGAATCTGAAAGAAAATAAGATATGTTACCCATCGCAACACTGGCAACTATCAATTAAAGATAGAACTTTCTAAAATCTTTTCTATATTCTACTGAAAAATCTGACAGAATTTACATTTCAGCCTGATATTTAAAGAAAAATGTTAATTTCTGAAATGTTGCTGTTAAAATAAGCAGTAAAAAAAAACTTTACAATTCTTCTTTTATACATCTTCAAGAAGTAGTTGATCCTGGCTCTTTACAACTTTCTATCCTTAATTTTACAATTACTTTTAATAATTTGGTGAAAATGTACCGAAATTAATTTTTAAAAAAAAATTATTTAACTCCAAGCAAGGCAATAATGCTACTAAAGACATAAAGGTTATTAAGAGCGTAAGAAACTGAGAAAATGTTATTGAGAAGAGAGATCTTATAAAAGAATATGATTCAAGGAGGCAGAAATGTTTGAAGATCGAAGATTTTAGTTGACAGGAAAGCAAGAAACCAGAAGAGTTCCACAGGTAAGAAGTGCAAGAGAAGAAATTATTAAAATAGAACTTACATTTACATCTAGCAATTCCAGTGTTAAATTATTAGATCATCTCCAAAATGAAAGTTCTCTCTATTAATTTTCTAAGATATTGCTTTCTGCCTCCTATCAGTATGGCTGATGCTAACCTCAAGGAGAGTGACTCATTATGCCTTCTTTGGCTAATATTCTTGGTTTATATTAAATCTGTCTTACATATTTATAAAACTA